GGCAGGGGTTACAAAAAAGTTGTGAAAGACTGACTAAAAAAAATGCATCCCCTTCTCTGTTTCCCTAGCTTACCAGCAGCCTACCACTCTTATTCCTCACTCTTGCGCCATGCTTTGTCACTGTTCGAAGTGTGCTCACATATTTCATTTGTGCCTCACTTCCACCTGTGAGGTTAGTAGGGCAGGTGTTTTCTACATCTGGATGGGGCTAACGCAATGACACAGATGGGGTTAGAACCCATGTCTCCTTGTTATGGAACATGAGGGAGCCATACCGGGTTAAGGTGTGCCTTCAATGAATGGGTTTAAAACAAACTGTGAGGAAATAATGTGCAGGTGTTGGAGAGCTGTTTGGGCAAGGAGTCAATGGCAACAATACTATCTTGCTACAGGGCATCCAATAGAGATGGGTGGCAAGGTGTCTGTCGTGCTGATGAGCAAACTGAAAGGCCCAGAGTAAGCAGAGGAGGACTGTAGTGTTCAGGTGATAAAAGACAGGTGGATCTAGTTCCAAAAGTTCTCCCGCTCTTTACGAGTTGTTTAAAATGACGGAACTGGGGCGCCTGGGTGGCTTAGTCGGTTAAGCTCAAGCGTCCGACTTTCGCTTAGGTCACGATCTCGCGGTTCTGGGTTCCGGCCCCGCGTCGGGCTCTGTGCTGACTGCCGGCTCAGAGCCTGGAGCCTGTTTCAGAGTCTGTGTCTCCCTCTCTCTCTGACCCTCCCCTGCTCACGCTGTCTCTCTCTCTCTCTCCTAGAAATAAATAAAACATTAAAAATTTTTTTTAAAAAATAAAATGACAGAACTGACCTGGGTGACCAGGGTGGCCTGGGGTCACTCTGCTAGGAAGTGGCAGATTGAGACCCTAGCTCAGGACTCTTAACACCAACCTCTTGGTCTTGAAATCAGCCCATTCAAATCTCTACCCCATCTTTCTCACAGGGACGTTCAGAGGAACACGAGTGGAAGGAAGTGGAAGTGGAAGGAAGACAGTGCTCAGCACTCACCTTTTATTTTTTTTAAGTTTATTTATTTATTGGGGGTGGAGAGAGAGCACATGTGAACAGGGGAGGGGCTGAGCGAGAGAGAGAGAGAGAGAGAGAGAGAGAGAGGATGCTGAGCAGGCTCGATCCCATGAACCACGAGATCAAGAGTCTGAGGCTTAACTGACTGAACCACCCAGGTGCCCCTCAGCACTCACCTTTTAAAAATCCAGTTGGCCTCTGGGGCGTCTGGGTAGCTCAGTCAGTTAAGGGTTGGACTCTTGATTTTGGTTCAGGTCATGATCTCTCAGTTCATGAGTTGGAGCTCCCCATGGGGCTCTGACAGTGCAGAGCCTTCTTGGGATTCTCTCTCTGCCCCCCACCCCCACACTCGCTCTCTCTCAAAATAAATAAAACTTAAAAAAATATCTAATTGGTCTCCTGTGAGAGCTACTGAGGGCAAACATTTTGGCTACACTGATAGGTTTGCACTTTCTACTGAATAGCTGTGTGAGCTGTTTTTCCTGAGCCCGTTTCCTTCTTTGTAAAATGAAGATATTATCTCCTGCCTGATAGGCTGTTAGAACGAAATAAGCAGTCTATGTGAAAGCAGTTGGTAAACCATGAAGCAGTTTTACTATCTGGTGAACTTACCTCCGGGAATACACCAAACCCAGCTCTCTCTAGGACCCTGAAAGGCCCAGCTGTGGCGGGAGTGAGAAAATGGTTCTTTTTTTTTTTTTTTTCCAGGGCAGACGGTGCCCCTGAGGAAAATGGAGGAAACCAGGCTTGCTCACCGCCTCTGCCTTCACATCCCCCAGCTGGGGGGGAAATGGCGGGGGAGCTGGCGTCACCTTTTCCTTGGTGAGTCAGCTAAGAAGGAATTTCTAGAGCTCCAACGATGTATAAGTGGTGGTTTGGGTTTGGATTTTTAAAGCTGCTCCCTCTTTTTAAGCAGCTTTAAGACACAAAAAAGCACGAGCAACGGAAGCATATGGAAAATGACAGAAGCACAGTTTCCTAGTGTGAACTTGGGGAAATCAGCGTCCTGGGGCCAGTGCTACCTATTTTGCAGGGCCATTTGTATTAATAGTATGTGAAAGTGCTGGGTTCAGTGGACAATATTTGTCAGTTTCCTTTCCCTTCTTAGTGAACAGACTGTAATCACGGAGCTCAGCCCAACAGAAAGCATTTACTCTTCAGCTGCTCCAGTCTATTACAATGGCTGCCACTATTGAACAACCCCATGATTCAGCTCATCTCTAGACATCGAGGAAACAGGAACAGTTCAGAGAAGTTTTATTGCCCAAGATCACAGCTTGCGATTTGTAAAGCCAGGATTCAAACTCACCTTGTCTAATTTACCTCTTAGGTATCAGAATGTGTGAAGGGGTTAATCAAGCTGGATGTTCTGGAAGGCCCGTCTTTAGATAGACTCTTGAGAATGAACTCTGGATGGAGTTTGAAGGGCAGGGAATGGGCCATTACTGCAGGAAACCTGGTAAGTAATTGAAAGAGAGCTAACAGCAAACGTTTGCAGGGCGCCTGGGTGGCTCAGTCGGTTAAGCCTATGCCTCGATTGATGTTAGCCCAGGTCTTGATCTCATGGTTTGTGAGTTCGAGCATCGCATCAGGCTCTGTGCTGGCAGTTCCAGCCTGCCTGGTATTCTCTCTCTCTGTCCCTCCCCTGCTCTCTCAAAATAAACTTTAAAAAATAAACTTAAAACACAGCATAGATACATATCATTGGTAGTCTTCTGTCTGCTCCCACTAAACACAAACCTGTTTCTCATCTGACAGCCCTTCGCTTACCACTCCAGAAGAGGGCAGTCTCCTGTTCAAACCCCTCTCCTAAGCTAGAATAGGAAGGCCAAGTCACCTCCCTCTTGAAAGAAAACCTAAGTGTAGCTAAGCCACATAGAACAAAAGTATGTTTTCTACACAGGTCCTATCTTGACACATGGCTGCTTCTTGGGGGCTATCAACCCAAGAGCTGCGGACTTCCACGACAGAAAGTAGGTACCCTTCCGTGTCATTGCCATCATCCCCCCTCCACACCCAGTTATTGACATGACTGCAGGCACCTCACCAACCAGCACGACGACTGCCACGGCACATTTACCGCGGCAGACTGTGTCAGCACAGCATCACGTAGCATAGACAAGGGCCCAAAAGGTCTTTTTTCCCCCCAAGTCTTCATTTCAATTCCAGTTAGTTAACACACAGTGTAATATCAGTTTCAGGAGCAGAATTTAGTGCTTCATCAATTACATACAACGCCCAGTGTTCATCACAAGTGCCTTCCTTAAGAGCCATCACCATCTAGCCCAAACCCCACCCGCCTCTCCATCAACCCTCAGTTTGTTCCCTAAAGAGTCTGTTTTATGGTTTGCCTCTTTTCCCCATGTTCACGTTTCATTTCTTAAATTCCACATATGAGTGAAATCATATGGCACTGGTCTTTCTTTGACTTATTTCACTTAGCATAATAGTCTCTAACTCCATCCGTGTCACTGCAAATGGCAAGATTTCTTTTTTCCTTTTTGTTTTTTGTGGCTCTGTGTTCCATTGTATATATATACCACATCTTCTTTATCCGTTCATCAATCGACGGACATTTGGGCTCTCTTTCTATAATTTTGCTATTGTTGGTAATGCTGCTATAAACTCTGGGGTACATGTATCCCTTTTTAAAAAATTTTATTTTTAAATTTACATCCACATTAGTTAGCATATAGTGCAATACTGATCTCAGGAGTAGATTCCAGCGTCTCATCCCCTATGATGTATAGCACCCAGTGCTCATGACAACAAGTGCCTTCTTTAATGCCCCTTACCCACTAAATGGTCTTCTTGGTGAGGTTTTGGAGTGGTGGGGGTTCAGACATGACGGCCAAGAAAGAATTCTCCAGAAGTCTTTGGTGCAAAAATGTGATTTTATTAAAGCACTGGGACAGGACCCATGGGCAGAAAGAGCTGCACTGGGGTTGTGAAGAGTGACTGGTTACATACTATGGAGTTGGGGAGGTAAAGGCAAAAAGGAGGCCTTCAGGACTTTGATCTGCTAAAGAGGATTCCTAAGAGGGCTTGCTCTTGTCATGTCAAGGTTGTTCTTCCTCTAGTAAGGCATTAACATTAGGACAGTAGGGGGTTCCGGGAGAAATGGTCTACTCTGTATTTGCCTCAAGTATTTGTCAATGGGCAGCAGGTGATAAAGAAATTTAATTTCCCCTCCATTTCCTGGCCTTGTTTCCCCGTATCACTATGGAGAGGAAGGCAATATTAGGGGCTCCAGGAAACAGTGTATGGGTTTCTGGAGATTAAGCTATTGACAAGATTGCCTTTTTCTTGTCTTGTAAACCGATGGAGACTCCTGTCCTGCATGACTGTGATCTCTATCAGTTAATCATTTGTTTCCGTTCCTCGCCTTTGTCCTTGGGCTGCCTGGAGTGCCTGAGGAATATCACACATATCTCCTGGGGGGGGCGGTATGCTAGCTTGTACTTTGCCCTCAGTTTGCCTTCTGCTCCCTCATCATTAGGTCAGCCCACCTAAGAACTGGGCTACAGCCTGAGCTGCTCTTCCCACTAAGGGTTCTGGCAAATAGTTCCAGGAGAGTAAAGGCTTCAACCCCAGCTGCGTACACAAGGATGACTCTCACAGCCCCTTATCTGCTTCCCCCGCTTTTACCGGTCAAGGCAAGGAAGACTAGGTAGAGAGGACTGTTATGGGTCATTCATTTACAGCTCTAATTCCTGAACACAGTGCTGTGTCTCAGGCAGGGAAAGTTCCAGCTTTCACATCTGCCCCTTGTCAAGCTGTGTTGGGCTATTTCACAGTGCTAGGGTAGGAAGGAGAAAGCAAGTGCTAGCTCATCTGGGTGGTTTTGATGCTGGGAAAGTCAATGCCCACGTCAAAGATGACCAGATTCCCCTCCCCCCAGAAGTCCAGGGACCCACAGCTGACCCTCTCCCCCTCAAAACAACAGCCACGACTGATACCCAAATTTCTCCACAGGCTCATTTAATAGAAGGGACTTTTATTATTTTTTAAAAGATAATTCATACAGCCATTGATTATACAGAGTGATTTCTCAGTACTTTTGTCTTTCCACCTAAGAAATCGGAATACACCATGATGAGGATGATAATGCCAAAACAAGATTGCTGGCTCATCACCTAGGGTACAAATACACACCTAATTGTTTGACACTTTATTGAACGCAAAGCAAGATTAAACATCTTTGCCTTCGTTGTACACAGCCGAAGCAGGAGCCCAGGGAGGGGAAGACGGCATGGTTTTCCTTGGTGGGGAAGGTGTGAGCCCCCGTAGTCCTGTCTTGCTGTGGGAAGACTAACCCATGTTCTGTCGGTTGCCATAGCCTCTGGGATGGGTGTCCTTCCAGTCATCCCACTCCCGAGCTCTGTGGAGCGCTTGCTCATCATCCTCTTCCTCCTTTTGCTCCTGATCTTCATGTTCCTGAGCAGCTCTTTTGAGCTCTGCTAGAGTGGAAAAATGGGAAAGCAGGGGTGAGGAGCTAAGGGAATGTCAGGGGCCTTAGCTCCACCCTGAACACAGCTGCACAAAATGAGAACAAGGAATACTGCCTACCTGCCTACCCCGGGGCCAGCAGAGTCAGGGTATTTCTATTACTTAGTCAGTGACGTGTTAAATAATAGGTAAGAAAGGATGCACTGAGTAGTTTACAGAAGAAGGCAAAAACATAAAAGTTGAATTCTCCAAATCAGTTCTATTTTGGGAAAGAAATCTTGCTGAAAAGGCCAAACACTACCCCTTACACACACACACACCAAAAACACCAACTGCACAACAGAACCCCAGCATGCCAAAAACAATGAAGCAAAAAAAAAATTATGATTTACTGATCTGTGGTGTGTCCAGAAGGAGGGACTGCTGGTGACTTTTTCTCCTCCATCCAGTTCCTTTATTACAGTTCTACAGGGGTGTGTGTGTGTGTGTGTGTGTGTGTGAAGGTGTATGTGTGTGTGTGAAGTTGTAAATCACAGGGCAGCTGAACCTACCGGAAAAGAATATCTGTGCTATTTGACACTTGTTTGGAACAGGGTCTGAAATCCGAAAGGCACACCCAAAAGAAATTAAACCAACTGCTACATCCATCTTTTGCATTCATTCCATTTTCTTTGAGAGGTAAGGGAGCATTTCTTGGCTACCCTGAGTTTGCCCAGGAGAAAAATTCTCATTACTACGGTAACAAATGAAATACATGGGAATCTGATGTCTTCCAATCTGATCTCTTGTGTGTGTATTTTTTGAAACAATTTTTACTGTAAAATAAAAGATACTGGAAATCACACACAAAAAAAATATATAACTTAAGTTTTAATGAGGAGGTTATACCTTTGTAGCCTCCACTTGGACCAAGAAATAGAACTTCTAGGGGCGCCTGGGTGGCTCACTTGGTTAAGCGTCCAACTTCAGCTCAGGTCATGATCTCACAGTTCGTGAGTTTGAGCCCCGTGTCGGGCTCTGTGCTGTGTTGACAGCTCAGAGCCTGGAGCCTGCTTCAGATTCTGTATCTCCCTCTCTCTCTCTCTGCCCCTCCCCTGCTCATTCTCTCTCTCCTCTCAAAAACAAAAACATTAGGGGCGCCTGGGTGGCTTAGTCGGTTAAGCGTCCGACTTTCGCTTAGGTCATGATCTCGCGGTTTGTGGGTTCGAGCCCCGCGTCGGGCTCTGTGCTGACTGCCAGCTCAGAACCTGGAGCCTGTTTCAGTCTGTGACACCCTCTCTCTCTGACCCTCCCCTGCTCACGCTGTCTCTCTCTCTCCTAGAAATAAATAAAAATATTAAAAAAAAAAAAACAAAAAAACAAAAACAAAAACATTAAAAAACATTTAAAAAAAGCAAAGAAATAGAGCTTCTGTACCTATCCAAAAGCTTCTTCAGGAGCATCTTCCAAATCAGAACGCTCCCCTTCTCCTCCCAAAAGGTAACCACTAAACCAACTTTTATAGTAATAACTTCCTGGCATTTATTATAGTTTTATTACCCAAGTCTGATTCCCTAGACGCCAGAGTTGTCTATTTGTACATTTTTGTGCTCAATGATTTTTAGTACAGAGTTGTGAAACCTTCACCACCGATAAATGATTTCCTTTACCCCAAAAAGATCCCTTGTGCCCACATACTGTTGATTCCCTTTCCTTCCTGCCCCTTAGCCCCAGGCTGCAAGCAATCTACCTTCTGTCCCTATAGATGTGCCTATTCTGGAAATTTCATATAAATGGAGTCAAACAATATATGGTGTTTGTGTCTGACTTCTTTCACTTAGCATCGTGTTTTTAAGGTTAGTCTTGCTCATTTAAACACGTTTTCAGATCGGGGCACCTGGGTGGCTCAGTCGGTTAAGCATCTGACTTTGGCTTAGGTCGTGATCTCACACAGTTTGTGAGTTCAAGCCCCGCGTCGGGCTCTGTGCTGACAACTCAGAGCTTGGAGCCTGCTTCAGATTCTGTGTCTCCCTTTCTTTCTGCCCCTCCCCCGCTCACACTCTTTCTCTCAAAAATAAAAAATAAAAACATTAAAAAATATACAGACAAAAAAATTAACATGTTTTGAGATCTTGTTAATCTACAGTTTCCAACCCCATCCTTTTCTATCCTTCCAAATTATCTATTGAAGAAACTGGGGCATCTGACCTGTATAGTTTCCCCAAATCTGGATTTTGCTGACTGTGTAGTTGTGCTGCAGTCCAACAGGGTCTTCCGTATTTCTGTACATTGGCAAGTGGATACCGAGGCTTGATCTGACTCAGGGCTGAGCCCTTCTGCATGACTCCAGCTGGTGCTGTGCTCCCTCACCAGGTGGCTCATAACATATATGTCTCATGTGTTGTGATGTTGGCAACTGATGCTTCATGCCTGGATTCACTGATTTTCTGGAGGTTTCAAAAAGCTGATGCTCCTCATTTTAACATCACTCTTTTATTAACTAGAATGCTTTTTTGAAGAGAGGCTTCCTCTCATCTCCTACTATTTAGTTACTCAAGGGGGGGAAAAAACAATGTAAATGCTTGATTCTTTCACTTTGTTTACCACTTGTCAAGGTAATCAATCAATTGGTTCCTTATCATCCTCTAAAATTGAACAGTTTCTATTTTCAAATATAATTGCAACTCATGGATTTAAATATATACATGTTTAAGTAGGCTTTATGCCCAGCGTGGAGCCCAATGTGGGGTTTGAACTCACGTTCCTGAGATCATGACCTGAGCTGAGATCAAGAGTTGAATGCTTAACTGACTGAGCCACTGAGGTGCCCCAACATATTTGATGGGTTTTAACCCACGACAATGATTTCTTTAAAAATATGTAAATAAGCTTTTAATAGAATAGTTTTATATTTACAGAAAATTTGAGAAGATAGCATGGAATTCCTATGTATCTGTACCCAATTTCCCCTATGATTAGCATCCTACACTACTTTTTCCCTGAGGCTTTTTTTTTTAATGTTTTATTTATTTCTGAGAGAGAGACAGAGAGACAGCGTGAGCAGGGGAGGGTCAGAGAGAGAGGGAGATACAGAATCTGAAACAGGCTCCAGGCTCTGAGCTGGCTGTCAGCACAGAGCCCGACGCAGGGCTCGAACCCACGAACCATGAGATCATGACCTGAGCCGAAGTCTTAACCGACTGAGCCACCCAGGCGACCCTCGCTGAGGTTTTATCTAATGTCCTTTTTTCGTCCCAGGATCCCACCCAGAGCGCCACATTATATTTAGTCCTCTGTCTCTTTAGTCTCATTTCAGTTGTGACAATTTCTCAGATATTCCTTGTTTTTGAGGACCTGAGCAGTTGTGATGAGTGCTCATCAGATATTTTTCAGAATGTCCCTCAATTTAGGAGTACCTGATGTTTTTCTCCTAATTAGACTGGGGTTATAGGGTTTGGAAAAGAATATCATAAAGGCTGAAATGTCCTTCTCATCACATCAAATCTCGGCTACACAACCATCAACATGACTTCTCACTGATGATGTTAATCAACCTGGATCATCCGACTAAGACAGTGTTTGTAAGGTTCCTAACTGTGAAGTTTTTCCCCCTCCCCTTCCACACTGTGGTCTTTGGAAGTCACTAAACAGCCCACAACTGAGAGGGAGAGGGAGTTATGCTCCATGTCCTTGAGACGGGAGTATATATGCAAATTATTTAGCGTTTTTCTGTCTCTTCTCCTCCATTTATGTCATCATTTATTTCTATCACTATAGACTCATGGGTAGTTATACATGTTTTTGGTAATCTAATACTGTTATTTTCCTGCTCAAATTCTTCCAGTTTTGGTCAGCAAGAGTTCTTTCAGCTGGCCCTTGTGTCCATTAACATACTTAGATTGTTTTGTTTTTTGAGTCCTTTATTTTCTAGTACTAAAAGATGCTTTGGGGTCATCTTGTTTATTCTCTGCCCCAGCCTAGAAGAAGCCATTTCTCTAATGGGTTCTGGTTTTTAGAGAATGATATGAGAAACCCAAATGTGTGCTCTGGATGTGCTCGTTGCTACTAACAACAGTTTGAAGCCAAACTGTCTCTGGACAATGGAAACTTTCAAACTGGCTTCTGAGTCCTTTTGATATGACCCTAGTTGTTTTTGAAAATGTCTTCCCTATCTTGTTTTTAAAGAATGTGTGTATGTATGCGTGTGTATATGCATTTGGGGGGGGGGGAAGGAAGACAGGGAGAGAAATTCCCAAGCAGGTTCCCCGCCATCGGCACAGAGCCTGAACTCACGAACCATGAGATCACAACCTGAGCCGATATCAAGAGTCGGACAATTAACCGACTGAGCAACCCAGATGGCCCTCTTCTCTATATTTCTAACAAGATGTTTCCAGCTCATCTTGTAAATTTCCTACCCTAGACTTGGAATTAGCTATTTCTCTAAGATATCCTGGTTTCTTTTAATGGGAATGGTATTTCAAGACCACAAGCTGTGTGCGTGCGTTTACTTTTAATAAAATTTCAGCACCTTATTTCTAACTTAACCTTTTTTGAATTACATCTGTTTTCTTCCACACTAAAAGTGTTACTTCTCAAAGAAAGATGATAGAATTAGACTATCATAATTACTCATTTATAGTATTTCACACAGTTTCAGAATAACACTAATGCTGTCACACCAATATAATTGCTGAGAACAGTTCATTCTTTTTTGCATATGCTTTCCCCAATTCTCTATTTTAAAAAATAGCTGTACTGTATCTACATTTTCTGAACACTGAACATATAAACATTACATACTCTAGTGTCTCCCTTTTAATCTCTATTTAGTCTTGGTTCTACAAGTAACTAGTGCTCACCACCAGTACTTAGTTGAAGTCTTTCTCATCATTTTGGCTGTCTGAAACTCATTCTCTAGTAAATTCCTTAGGAAGGGATCCTAGGAACAGTATTTCCTGAGCTCCTCTATGTTCATAAACGTCTATACTCTTTATACCTAGCAGTTTTACCAGATATAGTGTCCTTG